AAAAATTTATTTATTATTTTTATTTTATGTGTACGTGTGTATTGCCTGCAGGTAGGTAAGTGTACCTGTGTCGTGTAATGCCCGCAGAGGTCAGAAAAGGCTGTCGGATCCCCTGGGACTGGAGTTGTGGACAGTTGTTAGCTGCCATGTGGGTACTGGGATTTGAACCTGGGTCTTCGGCAAGAACAACCAGTGTTCTTAACCGCTGAGCCATCTCTCCAGCCCCCCAAAATGAATATTGGTAGAAAATAACTCTTTTTAAATTTTTTTTTAAAAATATCTATTCTTTGATTAACTTTTGATAATCAAAAATACAAGAAAAACAAGTTTGGTGGTGTGTTAAGTATTAGATACGTGTCAGCATTTCTGGGACTTGGCTCATCCAGGAAAGTGTCTCATGCTTCACGCTCTATCCAGGCACAGCATACCACCGCCATCAGTCAGAAAACACGACTCAGCAACTAGAAAACGCTAGCTAGAGGACTGGGGTGTGGAGCAGCCAAACGCAAGTTTAAAGCCTCCCCATTCGCATGTCCCTTGCCTCAAAGCCATAAGCAGTAGATCACAGCAGCCTCAAACTTATGTGTCCCAACAGGGTTATGGGCCACCTAAAACCATGCTCCACATCATGGATGAAATCCAAAGTAGGACAAACCCAAAGTGGAGCTGATCTGCTCGACTCATCTATGAAACAGCCATTGACATCAGAAGATATCACAAGGCAGTGTCCACCGAGGAAACAGCTACCTGGCAGAGGTAGCAACAGAAAGGTCATTTGGCTACACGGAAACAACATCCAGCGACCTACGACATTCTCACTGAACATCTGGTGGCTCTCTAAGATAAAAAGTGCCTTTTTAAACCAGCTTCCAGGCTGACGGGGAACTACAACATTCTCATGTAACATCTGTGGGATCTTCAACATAAAATAGTGCCTTTCCAAAACAATTTCCAAGCTGATTGGGAGCAGAGGAAAACAAGAGCTAAAAGCAGGGTTTATAGGTGACAACACAGGCCGGCGATGCCAGCTACTCAGGAGGCTGAGGCAGGAGCATTTCGAGTTCAAGACTATCCCAGCAACACAGTGAGCCCTCATTTCAAACACAAAACAAAGTGGGCATGGTGGCACATGCCTTTAATCCCACCACTCAGGAGGGAGAGGCAGGAGGATCTCTGTGAGATGGAGGCCTGCCTGGTATACATAATTCCAGGCCAGCTAGGCTACTAGAGAAAACCCTGTCTCAAAAAGAACTCCCCAACCCAACCCAATCAAACCAAACCAAACCAAAAACCACTAAAACAGGAGTTATGAGATATTATAGCTCCTTAGAAGTCAAGCTTTAGCTCCAGAACGTTAATATACAGAAACATAGAAACAAGGTTGTGTAAAAGGCAATCTTGCCCAAGATTCTAAACAATGCATTTTTATAGAGCTACTTTTATGGGATGATGTATAGACGTACGTCACTGTTTTAAAATCTGTCAGCTTGGGGCTAGAAGGACAGCTCAAAGATTGAAAGCACTTGCTGCTGTTGCAGAGGACCTGGGTTCAGTTCCCAAGCACCCACGTATCAGCTCATAATTGCCTGTAACTCCAGCTCCAGGGGCTCTAACACTCTCTTCTGGCATCTGCAGGCACAGCATACACGTGGTACACTTCCATACATGTGGGCAATATATTCATACAAATAATAAATAAATAAATAATAAATAATAAATAAATAAATAAATAAATAAATAAATAATCAGCTAGTCCCAACCTTCAGACCTGCAGACCGGACTACATCAGTGTTCTAGAAGCACACAATTAGTAGGGAAAACGTACCTGCGAAGTCTATCTTGTAGCTGAATTTGGAAGTAGTAAAAGAAATGGAGCCACAAGGGTTTGTTTTGAAGCTTTTTTCGATGTCTTCATTGCTAACTGAACACTGAATGTTGGTATCCGGCTTTAAGACAAACCAGAAAGTTGCATTTACCAGCTGTTCACATTAATGGGTTGCCCACAGAAGTGGGACTGAGGTCACAGTGACAGAGAACTACGGGGCAGGGAAGTCTGCTGCCTCAGGTTCTAGCCCCACCACCACCACCACAGGGAAGCTCACAGCTAAATCAGCATGCTGGAAACTGTCTCAAGATTTCCCAGGGGCGGGGATTGGGGAAGGGATAAACAGCTACTATTACAGTCCCCTCCACAACTGGTCTTCGGCCCTTTTCACAAATTAGCACAAGTTTCACAAAGTACTCCAATGACTGACTATACTAAATAGCTCAAATTAAATCTTTTATCAGTTTATTAATGCTAAAAGAAAAAAACAGACCACCAGTTCTTGAATGCGGGTTCAAATCTCAGCGTTCACTCTCTGTGATGAGACAAATTCACTTTTCTGAATTTCCCTTTCTTTGACTTTGGACAGAGTTGGTAACAGCTGCTTCGCAAGTGTTGCAAGGACAGAGAGAGACAACACCTAACATGACGTCAGCCTAGAGAAGGTACTTAATGTGGACCTCCTCTTCCCATCCTTTTTCTCCAAATCAAACTGGGAGTTGCTCAGATGTACTGATGTGCAGTAACTCACAGTAACACCCACTCTCCACACACTTTCTTCCACATAAATCACTGTGAATATGTGGGGCAAAAGGGGGGAACAGAACTCCAAGTACTTGTAACTCTTCTGACTGGTTTCTTTTCGTTCTGCATGAATAGCTTGCTACACAGCAGCTTGGCCCCTTCTGCTCAGTTCAGGGAGAAAGTACCTGAAACATGTGCCACTTCCCACACTCAGCCAGGTAGAACCAGCCCCACTGTGTGTCTGACGTGTCCATGTCATCCACTTCGCCATCCACCCTTTGGGAGAAGAATTCTTCTGTTTTGTGAAACATCTTCTGAAAAGTCAGCAAGAGGTGGAAGGAGAAAGAATCCCATTAATAAACAACGTGCTCCCTGTAGAACTCTACTTCATCACAAAGAACCATATTCCAATGTCTTTCCTACAGTGACACTTTTCAAAGAGCTTTCTATCTGTATATTGGCTCTGAAGATGAGCAGTTTAAAATGTGAACAGCACTGCTTAACAAATCAGACAGATAATCATCATCTTAGCCAGGATGTATCAATGCCCATGGAGCCCTTGAACTAAGCTGTGTCACCATCTGAGAGTGCTGCAGGTTTCCAGCAGAACCCTAAAAAATACTGTGTCATTCGCTCCTGTACTTGGTCAGAAGGATCCACTACATCACAACTACTTAGGACCAAATGCATCTGATTTTTTATTCTAAACAGTCATTTCATTCAATGGTATGGCAAGACATTTCTAATATATCATGTGAGGCATAAAAGAAAGTTATAAATGTAAGGAATTTTATAAAGTTTTAATTAAAATATATCTATATCTGCCCAAATGAATGCATGGCTATATGCACACAGCAAAGTCTGGATTGGCATAGTTTTCCTCTACATGGTAGGATGATGGGAATCATAGTAATGCTAAAATAGCTAGTCCTTACAGGGCTCTTGCTGTGTGTCAAGTGCTGGTCTAAGAACTTCAGGGGTAACTTATTTAGGTTAACAATAACCTATAGAAGACAGGTACTCCTAGCATAAATAAGGAAACAGGCAGGTCATACAGTGGGGAAGCTAGGAGCCAAGCTTGGGCAGGCTGCCCCCAGGCTATGTGCAGGTAACAATCATGGTACATCTCATGATCAATGGGTTTATAACATTGACTACACCACTTAATTCATGCGTACCTTATATTTGAAAATTTTTTGATGTTCTTGGGTGGATATTGTGATGAAGAAGTCACTAGAAAAGGGACAAAATGGCTGATCAAAAACACATTTTATTTGGAAGCTGGTTTTCTAGCCTCATTCTTTAAAGGTTTTTAAATCATTGATTTGCACCACTAATATATCAAACATTCTCCTTGCAAAAAACTCAGAGTACTCCTGACAAAGGCATGTCCAAACAGCCTTTCATGCTTGGTACTTTCTTCTCTTCTCTTTCCAGAAGTAAACAATGCTATCAGTCTAAAAGTTTTCTCTCAAATGTGTGTGGGGGGAAAACATTATATACACACATCTATATTGGTGATTTGCTAAAAGTCGGATTTCCTATACCTTTGATTTTTTAGAAAACAAAGAATGTACCACTGAATAAACTGGAAAGTACTTGGTTTCCATTTCATTATATAAAATGTCCATCCTGTTTCTGGAAGCTGTATAAGTTCCCATTATTTTTTTTAGGCCCTAGTTCCTCTTCACAGAGCAGCAAACTAAGGTTCCTGTCTCATTGGGTGGCTGTTAGAACAGCAAGCAATGTGATACAGTACCTGAGCTCAGGGAAGGGGTTCATTATTTTTATTTATGTTTAGAAACTCTCCCCAAGCAATACTTTCATGATTATGTCCTGGTTTTCACTCTTCGTATTTTAAAGTTCATTATTTGCTAAGAAATGAAAAACAGAACACCTTGGGACCAAGAGCTTCAGGTTTAGTTATGGGAGTAACTAACCACCTTCTGATTGGATTTAAGGCCTGATTCCCAAGATGGAGTCCATACCTGGGCACTGTTATCAGGGCCAATAAATAACCTGTGGCTAGAAAGGGCACAGGCCGTAGGGCAAGAACCTATTACTATATTCTGCTAAACAGACATAGTATTAAACTAAGTCTAATGGTTTATTGTTATACCCATGGATTAATGCATCTTTAAACTCTTACCAGAGAAGCTTCTTCTTGCAGCAGACAGCAATTAACACAGAGACCCCCCAACTGCTCAGCCCTAAATGAGACACCCAAATCACAACTTCTCCTCCCAAGACTCAAGCATCATTGCAGAAGATAGGGTGAAAAGATGGTAAGAGCCAGAGGTAGTAGATGAACAAGGAAACTGTGTTGTCTGGACACCACAGGACAGTTGCACATATGAACCCACAGTGCTTGTGACAGCATGCATACGGCCTGTGCAAGCCTAGGCCAGACAAAAGCCCAGGATGGAGGGGAGGTGGGCAGGAAGCCCCAGACCTACCTGAAGCTCTATTGGCAATTCACAGCTGCTGAGAGAGGGAGAGTCAGTTTTCTTTAGGTGTATGGCACCTGGTAGGTTGACCAGACTCCAAGGGAGGGAACTACACTCAAGAGCATTTGGGGAACACAAATTAGGCTTGATAGGCTTTACAAAGGAAAAATAATAGAGGATAAGAAGTCAGAGGGTTAATAAGGTGGGGGTGGAGGTGGGAGAGGGGGTCTGAATATGATCAAAATACACTGTATGAAATTCTCAAAGGATCAATAAAAATACTTGAAAAAGAGCTGCAGGTTTAGAACACACTATTTTACCTTATGTATGTTAACCAGATAATAAAGACAATAATTTAAATTCCAAAATCAGCTGCCCCTTAACTACTTCATACTCCTGCTTTTTCTTCTATCGCTGTTCACATCATTTGGTCATTTCACTGTGAGAGAGCAGGAAAGAAAGCCAGACCTGAGGAAGACAGGAAGGAAGGAAACGAGGGAGGGAAGGAGGAAGAGAGGGAGGAAGGGAGGGACAAAGGGACGGATCAATACATTAAAGCAAGTTTTACAGCTCTCCCTGGCATAAACAGCTATGATTGGCTTAGCCAATTCTTGGTCAATTCATACTATATTTTTCGTCCATAATCCAATGCACAGGAGAAATCACCACTTACCAACTAAGGTTAGGGAAAAGCCAAAGCAGAGGATGTCTAAAATTAGAGTGAGCAGTACAGAGAAGATGAAAGAAGCCAGAGGCCCACTGGGGTCCCTCTGCCTCGAGTCGGCCCACCCCTCGGCCTCTGGTCCCCTGCTCTGCTGCTGAGCCTCGGCTTCCCTCAGGGACTCACTTCATCACATTAAAAACCATACCATCTTCTACAGTAAGTTTTCTTTCAAAAGAAATGGTTATTTTGTATAATTAGGCTCAAAGTAAAACTTGGTTTAGATTAATAGAGACTGCTGTAACCATAGTAACAATGGCTCCAGTTAGAACACATTTACAGGTAATAAAAAGAACATGTACAAGTTATCCATCATGGAGAAGGCGTTTAATGAATGTTAGCAGTGCCATGTTCTGCCTGATTTCCCCATTTCTAATTGGGAGATAATGACATTTCCTGTGCATAAGGCTGTGGTGTGGAAACAGCAGCATCAAGTGGCAGAGCAGTCTTCACATGTGCCGATGTGGTGGGTATGCCAGGAGCCTGTCTCCAAGGTCAGCCGTACCAAGAAGAATCTTTATTGGCAGCAGCTAGGTATGGTCCATCTGGACCGTGGAAATGGAAAGCAATGTGGAAGATAAGATCAAATTCAAAGTCCCAGTTCAGATCTGGGAAAATAACACTGCTTAGATCTATTGTGGGATTTCTGGTAAGATTTTTACCACAAAATTGTTCTACTAGTATAATAATACTTCGAGGAAATCAAACTTGGACATAAAAATATTTTGCCTATATATAAAGAAGAATCAAACACTGGGTATGTGGTATGTGGCCCATCTGAATTCCCAGCAGTTGTGAGATTGAGGCAGGAAAAGGCAAGCTCAAGGCAAGCCTGGGCTACATTGGGAAGACCCTGTGTGGTGGTTTGAATGAAAATGTCCCCTATAGGCTTCAAGTATTTGGACATTTTGTCCTCAGTTGGTACTGTTTTGGGAACGTTAGGAGGTGTGGCCTTGCTGGAGGAAGCACGTCACTGGGGGTGGGTTTTGAGAGTCCTTAAGCCTTGCCACATCTCCAGTTGCTCTCTGCTTCCTGTGCCTGCTTGAAGATGGGAGTGCTCCTCTTCTGCTCCAGCCACCTCTTGCCACCACGCCTCCCCACCATGATGGACTCTGAGTCCTTGGGAACTGTAAGCTCAAACTCTCCCTTTTATAAGTTCCCTTGGTCAGTGTTTTATCACAGCAACAGGGAAGTAACTAATACACCTGACTCAAAGCACAGACAGACAGACAGACAGACAGACAGAGATAGAGATTGTGTGTGTGTGTGTGTGTGTGTGTGTGTATGCATGGGTCTGTGTGTATCCAAAATTCACTATCAAAAATTGAAAGGGAAAGCTGGACTAAAGCACACGCCTTTAGTCCCAAAACTCAGGAAGCAGAGGCAGATGGATCTCTGTGAGATCAAGGCCAGCCTGGTCTACACAGAGTTCCAGGACAACTGGGGCTACAGGGAGATCCTGTCTCAAGAAACACCAAGGGCCTGGGGGTGGAACTTCCAGACTGAGAGTTAAGGAACTCAGTGGACCCGCTTACCCAAAAATCTACTTTAAACTGGCAAAATTATTTTTACATGTCATTTAGCATTTCAGGAGCTTGTGCTCAGCATACACAGCAAATGGAGGAACACAAAGTCAAGAGAACTGACTACATCTCAGAGCTGATGGGGGTCCGTCCTAGACCAGCCCTTCTGTGTGCAGCCAAAGATGGGTCTCCTGAAGACCCAGATTTTGGAAAAGCAGGCTGCTGGTGCTGGTCTGCCCCTTCAGCCCACATAGACAGACAGACAACACAGAGGACAACCTCCCTTGCCCCACCTAGAGTCCCACTCAATTAGTGGAAGGTCTATTTCAAATCAGACAACCCCAAATGTCACCAGCCTAATTTGTTCCTAGAGTAGATACTTCATGCCAAGAGGCAAAAGCCAGGAAGATGAGGGACTGCTAACTCTCTTTCCTGAGGCCTATTCAAGGAGTGGAATGCCACTCTGGGGAAGATGGCTTATGCGCCAAGCTGCAGGTGCAGAGGCATGGAGATTCTGCCTAACAGCAAAAGGCCACAAGCTCTCCATCTCTGCCTGAGGAGTAGGCTCTATTTGGGAGAGCAAAGGGCCCCACTGCTACAGGCATTCTGGGAAACAGTGAAGGCATCATGAAACCAAGGATGGCTAGGCACTCTAACAGAAGCTGAAAAACAAAGCAGGCAGAAAGTTCATTCAGAGGGGGCTAAAGAGATGGCTCAGCAGTTAAGAGCACTAACTGTTCTTGCAGAGACCCGGGTTCGATTCCCAGCACCCACGGGGTGGCTAACAACCATTTATAACTCCAGTTTCAGGACATCCGGCCCCCTCTTTTGGCTTCTACAGGCACTGCATGCACATGGTGTACTTACATATATGTGGGCAAAACACGTCACATAAAATAATGAAAATAAATAAATTTAAGTTTTTTTTTTCCAACAGAGTTCATACAGAGAACCAGGAAAGAACCCTCTTGGGTCAACCTTGCTGGAGTCAGGAATGCTTAGGAAGGACAGAGCAAGACACGAGGCAGACCTGAAATGCCCCCTGAGCTACAGGTATACACCGATCTACACAGAGGAGACACAAGGTAGGCACAATGGCTTCAACACCACCCTTGATAAACACCACCTAAACATGCTACTCTGACCCAGGGGCAATTGCTATGAAGCAAGGATTAAATCCTTTTTAAGTTTTTATTACATTTTGTCTATTTATTGTAAGTGGAGGGTTGACATACACATGACAAGGTGTGTGTATGTAGAAGTCAGAGGACAACTTTCACGAGTTGGTTCTCTCTTTCTACTATGTAGGTCCAGGGATCAAACAGGTTGTCAGGCTTGGCAGCAAGTACCTTTAACCACTGAGCCATCTCACTGGCCCCAAGAATTAATTCTTTACAATGCTATCTTTAAAGTTACCATATAAAGTAATGGGTTTCATGGTAGTATTTCATACAAAGATTGCATGTAATAGTGCAATGACTCCAGCAGGGAGAAAATTATGTATAAGGCCATGATATGGTCCTCACAGGAGTGATCCAAAAGGAAACCTTCATAAACTAGCTCCTGGATAAATATTAATACAGTAACCCCCCCCCCCCGAAAATAATATAAACCCACACTCAACTACAACATCAGCCTCCCTGTCAGACATACAACCAACAATGAAGGGTAACAACCTAACCATCCAGGGGGCTCAGGTACAACCTGTAACCCCTGTCAGTCCAGAAGTGCAGCCTAAAGTTGTCAGGGTAATAGAGCAACACTGTGAAGGGGACAGGTTTCACATAATTCAGCCATAACCAGATATGCAAATAACCAAACCACCACCCAGAACAATAGGACTCAAACTATGGCAACCACTAGAAGAAGCCAAAAACTAATAAAATAAATATCCAATTTTCAGAATCAGCATGGTGGTATTTGACTATAATCCTAGCACTCAGAAGGCTCATGAGTTCAAGGCCAGCCTAGGTTACACAGAAAGACTCTTCTCAAAATAAGTTAGTTGAATTGAATACCCAGGTTTCAACAAAAAGTATGAGACATGCAACAACAAAAAAAGGAAATATGACCAATTCAGAGAGAAAAAAATACCCAACAGAAGTGGCCTGGAGAAGGTGGTGGACTTAGCAAAGCCTTCGAAGTTACTGCAAACCAACTTAAAGCATTAAGTGAAAGCATCCTTAAAGTCTAAGGGCAATGATGACAGCATCTCATCAATCAGAGACCATCGCTAGGCATGGTAGTGAATGCCCGAAATCCTATACTCAAGAGCCTGAGGCAGGAGGATCACAAGTTCAAAACCAACCTGGGCTACAAAAGGAGAGCTTGTCTATTAAGTAATTAAGATTAAAAAATAGAGATAGTGCAACAGTGGCCTCTGCTTTTGGCCCTCTGGAGTTACCTCCTCTCCCTCTGCCTAACATTCTAAATTCTAAAGAAAAGTCACAACTAAATGACTAAGATGCTAACACTAAATAATTCTTTTGATGTCTAGAACCTGGAACACCTGGTGGTCTTCAGGTAACATCCGAAAGTGTCATTCCTCTCCTTACTCTTCAGTTCTGTGCATGGACTAACATAAAACGTGCCAACTGCTGTGAGTTTTTACTTGCAGAAAAATGATTGTCTAAGGTATTACATGAACCAGCCTAGAAAGTCAAGGTTGGCTGTAATGCTCTAGTCAGAGGAGAGAGCAACAGCAGAGATGTGCCCTGGATGAGGATGTACCAATAAGCAGTCTGCCCACTGCCCCTTGTGCCTATCTCCCTTCATTCCCTATGAACACCTTCTCAGCTACCTGTTCCTTAAGATGATCCTTTGGGGGCAGTATGATCTCACCCCTTGTTCTAGGGTCCTGGCCCTTGAAAAAACCTGATTCTTTTCCCATCAGCTCTCATCTCTCAAGCACCGGCTTTAAAGCAGGAAGCAGATAGGCTTAGGTCCAGAAAAATAGACATTATTAAAACAAACCGCATTAAAATTCTGGGTTTGAAAAATATAATGGCCAAAATGGAAAATCTCTAGAGGGGCTAAAAATTAGACTGGAGCCATCAGGAATCAGCAAACAGACAGATCAACAGGCATTTTGCAATAGATATACAGTCACATGCTCCTTCCCCACAGGGGCACATTCTGAGAAATGCATTTGTAGGAGAACTATGGTATAAACATGTTGATTGTATTATGCAAATCTGATGGGACAGACCATCACTTGGCATGGTTCTGGATATGGTGTAGAGATGCCACATATAAGAAAAGGTTGCTGCTGCTGCAAATTATTGATTTGTAGTCAACTTAGAAGCAGTGCATACTAAAGTAATGAAAAAAGTATATAGTACTACATAGGTAATACAGTCACTTATCATGATCAAGTATTACATACTGTACATAACTGTCTGTGCCATTCTTTCATATGACAAGCCAAGTGCAGCAGGCTTGTTTACAAAAGCATCACCATAAATGCCGTAGTGGGCTGTACTGTGATGTTACAATGGCTACATCACTACTTGATGGGGATTTTTTCTCTAGATCCTTGTCTATATGATGGTACTACCACCAAACATGTGGTCCATTGTTAATCAAAACACCATTGTGTGGCACATGATTTTGTGTGTGTGTGCATGTGTATGTGCGTGTGTGTGTGTGTGTGTATTAGCAGTAACAATGTTTAAAAGGTAGGAAATGAATGCGGCCAGCCAAGGGTAAAATTTTTATATTTCACTGAAGCTAAGTCAGTATCTTAATAACATTAAGAGACGTTACAATGTGTATTTCAAGCCTTAGAGCAATCAGTAAGAAAGTATCAACCTAAAAAATTAATAAAAGGATATAAAATGTTACACTAGGAAATAGCCACTTGGTGTTTTAAAAAAAGATAATAAAAGAGAACTGGAAGAATAAAAATGACATAAAAATATAGGAAACAATAGATAAAATGCCCATTACAATAATAATATGCAAATAAATAACAGTGCTAAATGTGAGTCAATGAAATAATACAGTTTGAAGGCAGATTTCAAATTGGATTTTTCTTTTTAAAAGATCTAACTACAAAGTCAAAATTAAAAAAGATCCATTTATAATAAGCCCTAAAGAAGAGCTGGAGAGATGGCTTGATGGTTAAGAGGACTTGCTGCTCTTGTTGGGTTCAATTCCCAGCACCCACATGGTAGCTAACAACCATCTGTAACTCTGGCTCCAGGAGATCCAGCCCCTTCTTCTGGCCTAAGAACACTGCACACATATGGTGCATTTACTACATGCAGGTGAAACACTCATACATATAAAATATAAATAAATATTTAAAATAAGACCAAAGAATAAAAAAGGAACAAATTTAACAAAAGATATTCAAGATATATTCACGCAAAATTAACACTTTTGAAAAAGATTAAAGGAAAGACATCCCACATTCAGGGATCCAAAGACAGCATTACTAAGATGACAACACATCTCAAACTGATCTAAAGATTAGATGCAGTTTCTCCAGAGTCCCTGCTGGTCTTTGACACTTAGAAACCACTCATGCTACAAAGCATGGAATCTATTGGGTCCATAAGGCAACTAAAATCAGGAAAAAAAGAAGCCTGGCATCTCTGTCTTCATTTTGTCTCCTTTATTTTGTTAGACTCTTGCTTAACGCTATGTAGGTATGTTAATCGCACAAGGTTGTCCATCTAAAGATCAGTGACACCTAATCTATCTCATTTCCCTTCAAAGCCTAAGGCACAAAAATAAGTGCTGTGGTCCTAAGCCTGCAGTCACCTTGGATTCCAGGCATAGCAGAGCCTCACAGGATAGGCTGTGCCCCAAATGAGGGCAATTATCTACAGCGAGGCTGCACCTGAGCAGGAATCACCATGGTATGAGAACCAGACCACTAACTGCCAGTGACACAAGTTTTGGAACACCTTCAACTGATACATGATTAACCAGACCACTCTGACCGAGAGGACTTTACTATGCATGCCTCTTGCTCCCTAACCTAAATCTTCCTCTATTTAAACCTAAAGCTCATATCAGAACCCAGAAGATGGACTTGGGGGTCACCTTTATCTGTTCCTGCTTCCAGTGTGGCCTGCATTTCACTATCACTCATCTCTTTACTCTTGCATATGGGAAGAAGTGGTCCAGCCTAGTCTGCTGAGACTCCTGGAACTGGTCCTTCTGCCATAAAACTCTAGTGGTAGTCTTTTTTTGACAAGCTGACTCTAAAATTCATCTAAAAAAGAAAACATCCCAACTGTCAAATAATATATTTAAAATTTTTAGATTATATTTATTCACTTCTGTGTGTGTGTGTGTGTATGCATACAAGTGTGACACAGCACTAGAGTGGCAACCAGAGGACAATTTGTGGGAGTCAAGCCCCACCTAACATTATATGAGTCTCAGGGATCAAATTCAGGTCATCAGTCTTGGTGGCAGGTGCCTTTACCTGCTGAGCCATCTGCTGGTCTTGTCAAATAATCTTGAAAAAATACAGGTGGAGGATTCATACTTATTTCATAGCCTATTACAGCTACAACACGCAAGACAGTATGGTTCTGGCATAAAGAAAAAAATATATAAGTCCACTAAACAGAACTGAGGGTCTAAAAATAAATTCCTTTTTATGGTCAAGTGATTCTTGATAAAGTTGCCAAGACAAATCAATGTGGGAATAGTTTTGGTTCAACCTTCAGATATCCACATGCAGAAGAATTAATTGAATCCGTAGCTCACACACAGAAATTCACCCCAAATGAACCATAGCTCTATCTAGAACAAACTACAGGAACAAATCTCTGTGGTACTGGGTAAGTAGTAGATTAGCACAAGCAACAGAAGAAAAAGATTAGGTAAAAATCAAAATTACAAATTTTATGCTACAAAGAATATTTCTAACAAAGCAAAAACACAACCCAAATAAACAGGATATTTACAAATACAGAATATAGGAAGAATATATTAATATAAGGAATATATGAAGTTTTTAACTTAATAGGCAAATTAACTGAAAAATGGACAAATAATGGGAATGGACATCTCTCCAAAATTATACATAAATGGCCAAGAAACACACAAGAAGCTTAACTTCTTTAGTCATCTCAGAAACTCACGTCAAAACCACAGTAAGATATTCCTTCATAAT